ACAAGCCTATTGAATGGTTATGTGAGCGTGCCATACTTACTCCAAAGAACGATCAAGCAGCAGCTATCAACGATATCCTGCTCATGTCGTTTGAGGGCGAAGAAAAGGTCTATACTTCGATTGATACTGTGGTTAATACAGATGACGCTACTAATTACCCTGTAGAATTTTTAAATTCATTGAAACCGCCAGGTTTGCCTTATCATAAGCTTATTCTGCGTGTGGGCACTCCAATTATGTTGTTGCGAAATTTAAAACCACCAAAACTTTGTAACGGTACGAGACTGCAAGTGAAAGCGTTACATCGCAATATAGTGGAAGCCACTATATTAACTGGGTGTGCGAAAGGGGAAACTGTATTTATACCACGAATCCCATTAATATCTAATGATATCCCGTTCGAATTTAAACGATTACAGTTTCTCCTAAAAGTCTGCTTTGCCATGACAATAAACAAGTCTCAGGGGCATACTCTCAAATTTGCGGGTATTGACTTGAGAGAACATTGCTTCTCTCATGGACAGTTTTATGTTGCTTGCTCACGAGTAAGTTCACCCAATAGCTTGATAGTTTTAGCGCCTAATGACAGATTAGTTAAGAATATTGTGTACAAAGAAGTTTTGTAGGCCCTAATTTTTTACACACGCTAAACAAAAGTAAAGCCGCAAAAACTATACCTAATTAATAATAATACTTCTTAACGCGAGCGAAGCCGCGGGCAAAAGGTAGTATGAATATAAAGCAAAACGAGAGCCGTTATTGCCGTGCTGCCAAATATAGCTTTATTATTTATATAGAGAACTACATAAGAGAACTAAAATTGAAATATAAAAATATCTATAACAATGTCTGAAATGTTATCAATTTAATACACATAAGTACTCAATGAAAACTAAACGTAGTAAAAAAAAAATCGCATCTAAAATAGAACAGTAGAAGCCGCTCTTTAGGATAACGCTTTCCCTTAATGCTTTCCTTCTCCCCACCGCAAAAGAATTCCATAAAATACATTTTAATGTGCATTTTCATGACGTAATCTAACTGAGTATCAAATTTCACCTTTTTAGGTTCAGCGGTTTGCTTTGAACGATGATGCAGTGACCCAGTCAGTCAGCAAGGATAAGTAATTTTTTATATTTAGACGATTAATGAATGAAAAAACATACGAATGCGACTGAAATCTGTTAAATTCTTATTTGCCTTAATATGGTTGAACTATTGCAATAATTTTAATCATTTATTGTACAATAAATTATTAATAAACTGCTATCAACAGCTACACTGCATACTGTAATTCTATTGCACAGATGGCGGTTCAAATATAGTTATTGACATTAATGATATTACTTTTTTGCCATATGATTATCGAAAAGCTTTACATTAGTTGTATATGTCAACACAACACTGAAGAGGAGTGCCTCTCGGAAAAAGATTAAATGGAAAACTGATTCCTATTTAGGTGTTACAAACGTGAAGAAAACTCTAAAAGTTCTACGTTGTCAGGCTGTCGGCGAGGCGCAAACTGACGAAAAGCTACAAAAATTCAATAATTTTTCCACTCAGACACAGGTAGGCAACTCTAAAATACTATCAATCCTGTTTATTGTGGGTTGAACCATGCCCATAATGGTAGATACGTTTCAACCTACAATGATGAGGGTCTGGGCTCAACATATTTAAGATAGATCTTTCATGAAAAATTCTTGGAGAGTTGCTCGCCCGGATTCGATTCTAATTTCTCCAGAGAGATGGGTCAAGACCTTTACTGCCATGACCATTACCCTTTATTCATTATTACACAGAGACTAATTCAAAAATTAAAAATAGAAAATAAAATTAATAATTAATAATTAAAATTTCTCTCTTTTTTAATTAACGCGTAACAAATAAACTCAACAATTGATCTTTCATTGTTTGGCTCTGTTATTGTCAAGAGTGCGATTTTTAAGTGATAAAAAAATGTTATTTGATTCTTTAAATTATCATCCCTTGCCTGAACCTTTGGAGTAAGAGATTTTTCACATTTTATTGTTATTTATGCAAATAAGAAATTTATTCGAAATATTAATATGGTATGTAATGTAATGTAATGGCTTTAAAATGAAATTTCTCGGTGCAAATAATAATTACTTTAAATTGATTTAAAGATTTCGACTTTTCGATGTTTCGATGTTCTTTGTTTCGATGTAGTTTTTAAGTAAACAGTTTTGTGTTTTGCTATAATCCTATAATCCTATAATTATTTTGATGTTAAAATTAATGGCTTAAATTTGCGTATGAGTTTAACTGCTCAGAGTTCAGGGTCTTGTGCTAAGTAAATACATCTTAGGGCTTTTTACATTTACTGTTACTTAGACAAGTAAACAGAATACGTTTTTAACTTATTCAACCTAATTTAATAGACTTATTTTTCATCCGTAGCCTTTTCAATTCACTACACGTATCTGATAAATTTATTAATGTATTCTCATAAATTATTAATTAAATTAGCAGTTAATAGATATATAATTTTAAAGTTGTTAAATTGTATTACATGTTGTTTTATAAAAAGATACTTATTGAAAATTTAAGCTTAATTTGTAAAACTTCTTCCCCTCACTCAAATTAATGAAATTTCACGAGTATATTAAATGATACTTTCTTTAGCTTATGTGTTCTTCAGCTTTAGAGTGTAATAATTCTTTAGAATCTCTAAAGATTCTTTAGAGTGTAATAATTTTTCTAAAAGTTTACATAACTACTCATTAGCAAATATTTGAACATTCGATTTTAAAATCAGAATAAAGGTTTCGGTATTTAACATTTATTGTGTTATATGAATTTTCACTTTCTTTTTTCAGGGCAACATCTGATGGACGAGCGGGATTCGTGAATCCAAAGAATTTGGATCATTTTAAATATCGGGACAAGAAAAAAGGCCTATTGAAGCAGGATGACCCCGCAAATAATAAATTTGGAACGTTTATTTTCAAAAACCAAATTAATCCTGCGTGTAAACAAGCAATAGACAAGTTAATACGAATTTATAGTCGAAAATTTACATATTAATAAGAAAAAAGGACATTGAGGCAATTTAATTAAGCAATAGATAAGATTCGGCCTTTTTACGAGATTTCGTGAGATCGCTTTAACAGGTAAGTTATATTACTGTTTATATGTTATACACTTATATCATATTGATACATGGTTCTTGTCTTTAATTACTTATATTATACATTTAACCACTTAAGACATTTTTGTGTCATTATAACAAGTTTAAAGTTAAAGTTCACTTTGGACTGTTATAATGAGGAAAACGAAACACATTATTCCTAATTAAAATAGGGGAGATCGGGGCAACTTCGGCATGCGGGGCAAGTTTGTCAAGCGCTTTTTTTAAAAAACAAATTAAAAAAAAACTTTGATTAGAGGTTAGACAGTTGAGTTTCATTGGTGGCTTGTTGAGTGTAGTGTTTTTATTGTTCTCCAACAAGCGTAGTTGAATTATTAAGCAAATTTTCATTTTCGTTGAATTCCATATAATATTTTTTTTCCATTTATATTGAATTGGCAGGTTTTGTTATAATTCCATGATAACGAAAGTTACTTTTCCTGTTAGAAGGATGTAACTTCAACTTATTCACGTGGCCAGATCGTGGCTTGGCATTCTGTTCTCAGGGTTGTACTTAATGTTTCGAAATCATGACTAGCGGGGTAAGATCGGCAACATAAAGCCACATTAGAAGCAAAGGATAAAAATCAAACAGATGATAAATGAAAACATGTTTGCATTTGTTATTCATGTATATATGTCTTTGAACTTGCATTTCGTTGTAATAATATTAAATGGGTGTTGGATTTGTATTTCTTTGTTTTAATAGTGAATTCCAACTTATACATTGTTAATAACATAATTTTATATACGTGCCTATCTTGCCCCATTACTGTTGCCCCTATACCAGGGGCAACTTTAATAAAAATAATTAAAATAATTACAACTTTACAAAAAGAGAGAAGTTGCCGATCTTGCCCCTATACCCGGGGCAACTTCGTCAATTTCTCTCTTCTTGTAAAGTTGTAATTATTTTAATTATTTTTATGTCCAAACTGATTTTAACCAGATGTATAGCAAGGTAACATTCCAATAGACAATATGCAAAAGGTTTTTTTCAGTTTACAGCAGTATTTATTACACAAAATTTAAGTAAAGCTTAACATGCCGATCTTGCCCCGATCTCCCCTATATTTACTGCAAACGTAATCTTATATGCTATTATACTACAATCGACCATTTCGGGCCAACGTTTCTTCTCAGCAGACGTTACCTTTTTATGCTTGTATTTTAATATATCCATAACAGCTGCAGAGTGAGATGGTGTGAGCTGGATAATTACTCAGTGAAACGAAGAGTTGGTAATTCGTTTAACGAATAAGTGATGTTTAAGTGAATGAAACTGTGTTGTAATAAACAAAAAGATATTTAGGAAAAGTTTTGCTGAAAAAATTTAAAAAATGGCATTTCACAAATCTATTCCGAAAATGTTAAAAGAATTATATGGATATATTAAACTATAAAAATAATAATATCTGATGAGGAGGAACGTTGACCCGAAATGTTCGATCGTAGTGACATATAAAATCTTTTATGTACATTACAGTATAGACAGTAAATATACTTTAATTCGAAATTGTGTTTTTTTTATTATACGAAATCCTAGTACACAAAAAATGACCAAGGTAGACAACAGTATAATACAGTTATACAGTCTTATAATATAGTACGGAATTAGCTGCTAAAGGACGGCGACGTTCGCTGAGAATATAGTTTAGCTGGGAAATATAAAATAAAATGTATCTGAAATAATGTATTATAATTTCTATATAAGTGATTGAAGTTTTAGACTATTTACAAAAATATCAAATTTTCGAGTCTATCTTCATCCTTTTTTATACAGCACCAGAAGTAACAGTTAACGTGGCTTTTTATTGAAGAATAACTTCTTAAAAAACAAAGGTATGAACAGTATGGTGAGAAGAATTCTTCATGTTTTTAATGTAAAGTGTCAGAAATAGAAGGCTAACACTTGATCGTTTTTAACATTGTAATATCTCTTTTTACTTGTTTACCTTTGTTTTTTAAGAAGTTATTCTTCAATAAAAAGCCATGTTAACTGTTACTTCTAGTGTTGTATAAAAAAGGATGGAGATAGACTCGAAAATTTGATATTTTTGTAAATAGTCTAAAACTTCAATTATGAAGAATTATATCTTGAGTTATTACAGAAATTGTAATTTCTATATAAGTTTTATAAACATTTACTGCATTGTAAATTTTTTCTTTTTACATTTAGTGAGCGATTGGTTCAAGATCTGGAAGAGTATGAATTTAATGATGATATTATCGGTGGTCCAAGGAACATCGAAATAAATGAAGGCTTCAGCAAGAACAAAGGATGCATAGAAAATTCTTAACATCATTGGTTATAATGTTGAGTGTGCTGATAATAAGAGAAAAACATTAAATAAAGCCGGATCTTTTCTCAAGGCCGTATGGAAGCCAGTCAAGAGGTAAGTTTCTATATATGTGAATACAAACAAAGTTTAATTTAGCTCGGTCATTCTTTCGTCTTTACAATTCTCACTTAATCCAGTGTAATGCTAAACCGAAGTACCTCAAACAGCAACAATTATACACAATATTATGATGAACGCAGATATTTAAGCTTGAAAATTTCGTAATTTTTATAAGAATGGCATAACTTTTTTATATTTTTGCACTACATCGAGGTTTAGCAAAATAGTTCTATTTTTAATCCAATGAAAAAATAAGTTACAATGAAAATAATAATAACGAGCAATTATTTATAAATATAACGTTTTTTGATTTTCAATTTGATATAATGTAATATTTCATAACAACAAATGAATATAAACACGGCCGATATGGCGCTCTCAATATGTTTTGATAAAATTCAAATTTAGATATGTTTTCAAATAATAATTATATTTGATTTTCCTTATGCAGATCAGCACAGAAGTTATGGAGAAGCGTGAAAAATAGAGAGACTGAATACATTCAGTTTCATTAATGATCTCTTTCTATACATCATTGAGTCAAGTGTATATCTACTTGATTTAATCCGAGTACGTCTCGGGTAAGAGTTTAATTAGAATATTTTTGTATTTTACCTTAACACTTACAAGATTATCTACTCTACACTTATAAATTCAACCCCATTTTAATCCCTGATAGAAATGGTGTTTTTGCCATGGTCACAGGAGAACAGAAAACATGTATTAACGTAGAGATACATCATAGTCTTTATAACATTGAGACAGACATTGAGATATTTACATATAGACAGACTGAAGTAGTCTTACAGGGCATTAGGATTATATATATATATTCTTGTCCAAGTATCGTCTAGAACAGTGGTTCCCAATTAGTTTTTCCTGCGTACCACTTTAAGAAAGAGCTCAAACTCGCGTATCCCTTATAGCAGAAATTTATATTAAGCCATACTAATATAAATTCGAAGGTAATTATGTCTGTCTGTCTGTTACCTTTTCACGTCTAAACCACTAAACAGGTTTTAATAAAATTTGGCACAGAGATAGCTTACATGTTGGAGATGGACATAGGCTACATTTTAATGCGAGAAAATATCTTACTCCCACGAGAAAATTCGATATAATGCGGGCGAAGCTGTGGGTAGACAGCTAGTGATAAATAGAATAAGTTTTTTTTTAAATTTATTACCTTTAAAATACAATTCTAATAATAATGAAAATAACATAAGGTTATTTAATTTTAATGTGACAAATGTGCACGATTTTCTTTGCACAACTTTGTAAAATCTGGTTGCTTTTTGGTCAGCTTCAGTCTCGAGTCATCTTCGAGTTGAAGTCGGTGACGATGTTTAGTTTTCATGTTTGTCATGGCCGAAAATCCGCTCTCGCAGAGGTATGTTGTGCAAAATGGTAGTAAATATTTTATTGCCGCTTCGCTGACATGATAATAATGATAATTGTACAATTAACACAAATTGTGTTAATTGTACAATTTTTGTTTCTTGCGTAAGAATTTCATTTAGGTATTGTCACAAATGCATTTTTTTAATGAAATTTCGAGATTATTTTTAGTTATAAATAAACGAATTTGTGCATTCGACATCATTTTGTAAATTGCCGAATTTTTGATGGTCCATCCATTATTTTTTTGATTGCTTCATCTCATGCATTTCAATCTTAAATCGACCGATTTTAGACTGCCGCGCGTACCCCTTCACGCAATTTCGCGTACCCCCAGGGGTACGCGTACCACTAATTGGGAACCACTGGTCTAGAATATATTCTAGAAAAGTAGTAGTCTCGTAACAAAGGGAAAGCTACAGGATAAATGGGAGTAGAGATTAAAATATTTAGCAACTTCATATGAATATGACTATACGAAGATTCTAAACTATTCAAATTAATAATAATATATGTGAGAGTAGCCAAGGGTATACGTAAATTACCTATATCACTTACTGGCGCACGATCGTGAGATCGGCTCTCGGAACTTTTTATAGGAGGGCGATAATATTTAGGAAAAGGGGATTCAAGACTGTGAAGTCTTTATCCCAAATTGTCAGGGTCCCGACACCAGTTAATCAATCTTATAACACTCGGATTAACACGCGTGAAGTATACTTATTACGATTCATATTAGGAGACATTTAATAAAAAAACGGAATAATAAATTTAATAAAACAAGAAAATAAATCATACAAAAATCTCAATGAACGAGAGATAGAAATATCACAAATAACATACAAATCGAGAGATAGCTATACTTATCTTCTACACTATTCGCAATCGAGAGAGAGAGCTCACAAAAATCGTTATAAAACATACGACCTGTTTCAGTTGTCGTTCGTCTTCTTCTCTGTATGCGAGGGACACTTTGGAGATAAAGTTCATTTACTTCTTCGTATGGGAGATCACTATGTGCACAAATGTAAAGGTATCACTTCTATGTGCAGACTCTAGACTTATTCTGTATGTGACTCGTCTAAGGCCGTTGGTCATCAGGAGGGAAACGTATACGGAGTTAGGACGCTTTCGGATCTGTCGCTGAACTCCTTGAATTCTGACAAGTTCCCTGTATATCTTCGGAATACCGACCAATCATCGGCCAGTAACTCTTTCGTGAGAACGGATGAAAGGGGAATGAATGAGAGGTAACCATTTCCCATCTGAGCAGGATTTTAACCAGATAAGGGAAAGTCAGAGGATGTTCTCTTCTGTGAAAGGAAGTAACATCTGTTATCTGCCTTTTCCCACGTTAAAACAGTATTTTTCCCACCAAAAATGAAGTAATATTTGGTGACAATATTTAACATAATTAATAAAATTATTAGCTTAGACCCAGGGGCCTTTCGGGTCTCACATATATATGAAACATAATAAATGACACAACAGTAGAAATTAATAATTATCAACTTAATAATTTTCGTTTGATATGCAACTAATGTTTTTTAGAAAAAAATAAACTTACTGATTTAAAAATTATTAAATAATTGAATATTTTAGATACATTTATTGATTACTTTTTCAATTTTTTTTTTCACAGATTTAAGAAGTTTTATTTTTAAAATAAGCAAAAAAATCACAAGAGCAATTTTTAAAAACAACAAAAGAATTGTTTTAAATTTCAATTTTCTTAAATCTAATTGCATTGAATTTGCATTTTCTTGCATTTGTTTTAATTGTAGTTGTTTTGATTAAGCAGCTTTATTGCTTTATGTTGTTTTTTTTTAAAATATCCAAAAAAATTAAAAGATAAATTTTAAAAATAACAAAAAAAAATTTTAAATTTTAATTTTCTTTTAGTTATTAGCATTTTATTGCATTTGTTTTAGTTTTAGTTGTTTTTTATTAAGCAACTTTGTTGCTTTTTGTTGTTATTTTGAAAATATCCAAAAAATAAAAAATAAATTTTGAAAATAACAAATAGAATTTTCAATATTAATTTTTTTAGTTATTTGCATTTGTTTTGATTCGCATACTTTTCATTTTGTATATATTTTTTTATTTATTTGTTGTATGTTCTAAAATGTCCAATGAAGTCGTAAAAAGCAGTTTTATAAGTAAAAAAAATCAGGTTTAATATTAATTTTTTTATTAATTTTAAATAATTTCACGAATTTCAATAAAATTGAAGATGTTTAGATTGCTTTTAGAACAAGAGAGGAATTAATTGCAACATATCGACCAGCGTATAAATTGTGCCACAATTAAATGAAAAGCATCTTTTTATCTGGTATTGATATGTATGGGCATGATTTTTGTCCAGAAAATCTTTTGAAATTTACTATGTCATGAACGTCTATATTTCATTAGTTGCAAGATTTGTTTTAAGATTCAAATATAATAATGAAAGAAGCTGGTTTAGAGTTTTATGTTAAGAAAGCATATATTTTTTCGTGCGCTTAAACAGGCCTTCAGCACATGTGTCTCAAAACCGATTGTAATCACATATTTTTGAATTTTGTACCAAAAGTTATCATGGATCCTGCCAAAATTGCAAAGAAATAAACAGCAATGTTTATGAAATATAAATGACTATGAAATGAAAATGACTATTTAAAATGACTATTAGTTTAACTCCTACGAGAAAATATATACCCATAAGACCTGCCCTGGCGAATGAATACAAGAACTTTTCAGACGTAAATTTGTACAAAAAATCATGCCGATCTGGATATGTGACAGATTAAATATGAATCTTGAAAAAACAAACTGATTGATGACACCTTACATGACCGAGAATTTCTTTTTATTCATTTGAAATTAATTGTGTTTCTTTTGATTTGCATTCTTTTTATTTTGTATTTACTTGTTGTTTATTTGTTCCATGTTCTAAAATTTCCAATGAAATTGTAAAAACAAATTTTTATAAGTAAAAGAAAATCATGCTGTATTTTAATTATTTTTTATTTATTTAAATTGAATTGCAGTCATTGTAATTTTCGTTGTTTTTATGTCATATTTCTTCGTTTTTTATGTCATATTTTTTCGTTGTTTATGTATTTTATATTTTAAAATGTTAAAAAAAAACTTAAAAAGTTTTCTAACATATTCAAATTATTATATTCATTGTAATTTTCGTTTTTTTNAACAACACATTAAAACATTATAGATTTTTAAATAATTTTTATAAAATCATAATTTTATGACATCAGAAATGTAAAAAAATTAACCAAAAATAAGTAGTTTTCACTAATTATCAGTGTTCGAAAATTTTTATAACGTAAAATAAATTGAAATGAATTTATACAAATATAATTTACTCAACATTAAAGTAAATTCATTTAAAATTCGTTTAAAGTTTTCAAGTATAGTTTCATATTATCACCACCACTTTTAACCTCTTTGTTTCTACATTTTATTTTAAAATCTTTAATTGAACATAAGATATACTTAAAACTAAAAAAAAAAAAAAAAACAAATGCCTTAGTTTGCAAGAGAAAGCTTTGAAGTTTATTTTCCATTGTCTCGCCTTTCCGAGGAATTTGACGCTGATAAGTAATTGTGTTTATAGCTAAATGACCTTGAGAACAGCTGGTATCGTCTTTTGCGGTACATTCTCATAAAATTTCCAAGAGGAGAAGGGATTAAAGTAGGGTGAATAATAGCTAGACAAATATTTTTAAATATTTATAAAATTTTCGTTTTTAATTGCGTTATCCGACCCCCCCTACCGATTTAATTAAATAGGTGCCGAAATTTTTGAAAAAAATGTTGACACTTTAAAAACATCTGAAAATCCAAATTATTTTTCTTGTCGAACTTACATTCATTATTCATTTAGTATCTTTCAACTTTAATATTTTATATAAAAAAAATAAAATAGGAATAAAACAATGTTTAGAAATGAAAGACGAAATGTAAATTTAAAATTAAGTAAATTATCACATCTTTTAAATAACAAAGTTTTAAATCCATTTTATAATAATTAATTTCGTTTGTAAATAACTTTAGAATAAAAATATCAAATTAAATAAATACTTGACTTAAGAATTCAGTCTAATCAAAAGATAAAATGAATTATCATTGTGAGCAACTATTTTGATATAAATGGCAAACTGAACAATTCACAATATATCGGGTGAATGATATGGTTAATCAATAAGCCAACTATATATACATATGCACGGATAAGATAGAGAACAAAAGTGACAGCAGTGATTTAGAAAGGTTTATTTTCTTTAAACCGTCAGAAACTTCGTCATAACCAAC